GTCCCTTCAATGCATCCTGTCCTTGAGTTAGGGAGTGTGTGGCAATATTCCTCATTTCTTCAATCTGATCCCAAATACATGAAGTCTGGCACAGACTCTACTTTTTTAGATTGACAAATAAAAACTGTATATATTTTATACACTGTGTTGTTTTGATATATGTATATACTGTGGAATGGTTCAATCAAGACAGTTAGCATATGCATTATTCACATCGTTATTTCTTCTTGTGGTGAGAACTCTGAAAACTACTATCTCCAGACATGACAAATAAAAAATAAACAGTAAATAATAAATTTAAAAGAGACTCTAACAATTTTCAAACACACAATATATTGTTATTAAGTATAGCCAGCATGATGAACAGTACATCTCGTTGTCTTTCTGTCTTAATTGAAATCTTGTGTCCTTTGATCAACAGCAAGAGATGAAAGATAGCAAGTGTTGGAAAGAATATTTAAAAAGGGAACCTTTGTGGGCAGGAATGTAAATTATGGAAAAAAGTATGTAGATTCCTTAAAAAATACACACACACACACACACACACATATATTTCTGAGACAAGGTCTTGCTCTGTTGCTCAGGCTGGAGTCAAGTGGTGTGATCATGGCTTACCACAGCCTCATCCTCTTGGGTTCAGGGGATTCTTCCACCACAGCCTTCCAAGTATCTGGGACTGCAGTTATGCACCACCACTCCCACTAATTTTTAAATTTTTGGTAGAAACAAAGTCTCTCTATGTTGCCCAGGCTGGTCTTGAACTCCAGGGCTCAAGCGGCCCTCCCTTCTAAGTACTGGGATTATAGACATGAGCCTTCACACCTGCTCCCTCAGAAAATTAAAAATAAAACTACCATATCATCCAACAATCCCACTTCTGGCTATATACCCAAAGGAAATGACATCAATCAACTGAATAACATCATCAGTTGAAGAGATACCTGTATGCTAATGTTCATTTCAGCACTATTTACAGTAGCCAAGATATGGAATCAACCTGTGTCCATGAACAGATGACAAAGAAAATGTGGACTATATACACAATGGAATTCTACTCAGTCTTAAAAAGGAGTAAATCTTATCATTTGTGACAACACAGATAAACCTGGAGGACACTATGCTAAATGAAATAAGCCAGGCAGTACTATTTATGGTAATAATATTACTTTTTATGGTAATTTAATTGTAGATGGATTATCTTTTGGGGTTCTTTTTACCTTGATGTGTTTCAGAGAAGGAAGCCCTGTAACTGTCCCAGGAATCTCATCTTCATTGTGTTTCTTTTACAGTATCTGAATGACTTATGACCTCACCTGTCTACCTCCCTTGTTCCCAGTAGCTTAGCAGTGGGGATCTGAGTCACAGACATCTGTCCCCTCTAGCACATACTTGGTATCTTGTCAATATTTGTAGGATACATTTTATACCAAGGATTAGAAGGTTGTCATATTGAAGGACTCTTCAATGCCTTGGTCAACATCTTGCTCAAGAGATCTCCTCTTTCTGAAATAAGTGACTACCAGAAAGTACACAGAGGCAGGAAATCTCATGCCTGATCTGCTCTTTGATCATGATGCGACATCAAAACGGTCACACTATATGCTTACTGTGATAAAAATCACCAGCCTAGATACTGAAATGCTGTGTATGAGATAACACTTATCTCCAACTTAGAGGAAGTCCAGACTCAGTTACCATGTGTTCAACAGATGTGTCTGCAGTTTCTGAGCCCATGGCTGAACCAGGAGCTGGGAACAGACATGACACCTGCTTTTGAGGATGTTAAGGTGGAGGGCAAAGGTGATGATGAATTCTTGACTAAATTATTATTTTTATTATTATCTTTGTACAAATGGGGTCTCACTATGTTGCTCAGACTGGTTTCAAACTCCTGGTCTCAAGCAATCCTACCACCTCAGCCTCCCCAAATGCTGGAATTACAGACTTGAGCCACTGATCCCAGTCCCTTGACTGCATTTTAGAAAAGAATGTGAGGTGTGTGAGGAGATGGGAGACAGTAGTAGCTATGGGAGCTAGACAAGCTAGTCCTAAAAAAAAAAAAAAAAAGGACAAGCTGTGAGACCTTCATGGAGGAGGTGATATTTTAGCTGAGACATCTTGCTACAGATGCAGACAGGAAAGGGTGCACCAGGCAGAGGGGAGAACACGTGCAAAGGACCTGGGGTGGGAAGATGATGGCCCATCTGAAGAATGGAAAAATGTCAGTATGACAGGATTTGGAACAGCAAAAAAGTGGGGGCTAAAAAGACAGGCAGTGGTCTGATTTCAAAGGACCCTCCCCATAATTCCAATAGCCTTGAGAAGATATTCATCTACATGGGAGATACTGTCTATGATGCGCAAGACAGGTAGGTTCAGATGATGTCAACCACACCTGAAAAATGAATTTCAGATAAACTGGGGAATAGTCACCCACAGTACAGAAGGATTTTGCAACTCACAGACTCTCCACAGGGTTGTCATGAAAGACTAATTTGCTTGTTTGCTCAGCAGGTATTTATTGAGCATCTATTAAGATGCATAATTGATGAAAAAGCAATGATGAATGAGTCCAGAGTGGCCCAACCTCCCAAGGGCTATCAATCTAGTGGAAGGAGGGAGGAAGGGAGATGTTGATCAAGTAACTTATAAGACACGGTAAAGATCTACTAAAAGTAAAGAAATCACTATATAAAAAAAACACCACGGCTAGGTGCAGTGGCTCATCCTATAATCCCAGCACTTTGGGAGGTTGAGTTGAGAGGACTGCCTGAGCCTGGGGGTTTGAGACCTGCCCCGGCAACTTGGTGAGATCTTGTCTCTACAATAAATCACAAAAACTAGCCAGGCTTGATAGCATGCATCTGTAGTTCCAGCTACTTGGAAGGCTGAGGCAGAAGGATCACCTAAGCCCAGAAGGTCAAGGCTGTGGTGGCCATGAGCGTGCCAATTTACTCCAGCCTGGGTGACAAGAGTAAGACTCCAACTCAAAAAAACAAAAACAAAAACAAACAAAAAACCCACACCTGTATCTGTATGTTCATTGCAGCACTATTCACAATAGCAAAATCATGGAAGCAACCTAAGTGCCAACGACTGAATTAAAAAATGTGGTATGTATACACCATGGAATAGTACAGAGCCGTAAAAAAATAAATCATGTACTTTGTAGCAACATGGGTGAAGTTGAGATCATCATCCTAAGTGAACTGACTCAGAAACAGAAAATCAAACACTTCATGTTCCCATTCATGTGTGGGATCTAAATTGTGGCTAAAATGGAAATAATAGATGCTGGGGACACCAATGGGGGGAGGGGAAGGGGACTGGGTTCAGAATTTGCCTATGGGGCACACTGTTCACTATCTGGGGAATGGGCCACCTGAGACCCAATCCCCACATCTGCACAATATGCCTGAATCTAAAATAAAAATGAAAAGAAAAAAGCAAACAAAAAGGAACAAGAAATGGTGCAGTTAGCATTACAATGGAAGTAGAGATCTCTGCCCACTCATGGCTCCAGAGACCTTCCCCTGCATCTGCACTGACAGCATGGAACACTCACAGGGACTACACTTGGCTCCAACTGTATCGTGTGGTTTGGTTCGGCTGGCAAAGGTACCATGGCACTTTCTGGAGCATTTGGCTGTCTGGAGCTCTGGGACCCTTGTGTCTCAGGGGAAGGGAGGGCCATCACCGATTTCTACCTACGTCTCTTGCTGCCAATCAAGTTGCCTGAGTTTGGGCTTGAGGCTAAGAGGAATACTCTTTTGGTACCTTTCCCTGGTGTGAGGTGAAGCTGTGTTTCTGTCTCCACCTTAGCCCTGAGCTATGGGTCAAACCTCGTCAGCCTGAGGCTCTGTGGTTGATCCTGAGGGACTCTTTAATCTGCACAAATGAAGTGGAGAGGGAAATTGTGTGTCAACTTTTAATGAGACCCCAAGTGTCAGTGAAAGTCCTTTGACTTGTTTACAAGAAAACTTGGAATTGGCTTCCCTGGGATTGTTAGGCAGAAGAGTATAGCAGGTTATGCTGACTGGTGTCCCATAGGCGACTTAATGCCAGTGAAGACTCTGTGTTCATCTCTTATGTGTCCTCCAGGAAAGGTGTCCTGGGGGCATTGACAATGGGCACGGAAAACTTAGGAGCAGGGCTGGAGGTGGCAGGTTTGAATGAATCCTACTAATTGCCTGACTTGGAGTCTCTATGACATCACTTCAGTGAGTTGTCTGGAAACTTGCTTTTCTTCTTTTTCAAGAGAAATTCACTGACAATGCCAACAATCGATTTCTCTTTGGGGTCTTAGACACAGATTAACAGACAAGGGAAGACTTGGGTAGAAGTCTGGATGACTTTGTGCCTCAAGACATTCACTCACAACAGACAGAGTTAGATTAAAATCCTGGTCCAACAATTTCCTGGCTATGTGGCCTTAGTGAAGCCTCTCGGGGCTTCTGTCTGCAAATGGGAAAGCTGATAGTAATAAGGCTTGCTTCATGGCATGGTGTGTGTAAACTTCCTGGCACTTAGCACATGCTCGATACATGCTAGATGGTATTATTTTGTCAGTCAATAGAATCTTGAGGGTATTTGGACACAGTGATTGTGCCAGACATTGCTTTCCTTACTTTATCCCATGCCTTTACATCTCATCCATTCATTCATTTGTGAAATGTTTGTTAGACACTTTCTGTCTTCCTCCAGGAACTGAAACAAGAGAGCAAGGGAGATGAGGTCCTCTGCCCTCCTGATGCCTGCCTTCTCATGGGAAACAATAATTCAAGACTAAGACTGCTCTTTGGGCATTTCTCCCACTCAGCAGAAATTATAAGAGGCGATGAAGAGCAAGCCTTGTTCCAAGGCAAGGACTCTGGGCTTTGGAGAAACATCATTTATTATTGCTTCTTGGGGTTCAGAGCCAGAGAGGGAAGAGTTTGGGGTTGAGGATGCACAGCATGGGGTCTGCATCCATCTGAGGGGGCTGAGCACAGAGGCCTGAGTCAGCAGCTCTGCCTCTTCTCACAGATGTAAACGAGGGATTCTGAGTCACAAGAGGAGTCACTCCAGTGTCCCTGCTGGAGCATCATTACACAGGCTGGGGCCGCTCCATTGCCATTCAGGTCCTTGGAGTTCCAGTTGCTGGGAAAAGACATCCACCAAATCCCTTAGCGATAAGGTCAGATATGAAGCCCTCAGTCCTGCCCTCTGTGGGTTATGACCTGAACCCGGAGGCTTGAGCAGCTCCCAAAGAAAGTCATTTATTGAGCCTACTGTATGGTAGTCATCTGATCAACCCTTTCCTGTTTTGTTCCAAGTGGAACTCACCTAAGGGTAGCAACAAGGTCCAATCTTCTGAGAAGCTGAAGGTCTTCCAGCTCCTAGACCACTATCTGGCTGCTGCATCCCTCTGACCCTCTCCTCTTCTCTGAGGCCCCTTGAAATCATATGCATTCCACCCAAGTTCTAGCTCTGCCACTTGAATCTATTTGGCAAGGTGCAGTGTTGTTTTGTTTTTTCTTTTTTTTCAGACAGGTTCTCACTCTACCACCCAGACGAGAGTGCAGTGGCACAATCTCAGCTCATAGCAGCCTCAACCTCCTGGACTCAAGTGATCCTCCCACTTCAGCCTCCCAAGTAGCTGGGACTTCAGGCACGCACCACCACACAGCTAATTTTTTGTATTTTTTGTAGCGATGACATCTCACTATTGCCCAGACTGGTCTCAAGCAATCCTCCAACCTCAGCTTCCCAAAGTCCAAGGATTGCAGGCATAACCACTGCATTCAGTCATGGAAACCAGTGGTCTTAATGTCTCTCTCTGAGCTTCTGTTTTCTCTTTTGCAAAAAGGGAGTATGTTCTGAATGTGTGATGACCAGTGCACGTAAGGTACACAGAAGGTACTCAAATTGCAGATGATTTCTTCCCTGGGCCTAGACCCATACACTACAGTTTGCCAGGCTGGGAAAGGAATTCAGGCAGTGGGAAAGGTCGCAAACCAAGGCACAGAGTGTAAGGATGCAGGGAAATAATAATAAAAGGTATAGTGAATTGAACTTCGTCCCTCAAAAAGATATGCCATGTCCTAACCGCTGATACCTGTGGGTGTGGAAAAAGGATCTTTGCAGATGTAAGTAACTGAATAATTTCTTTTTATTTTTTGAGTTGGAGTCTCACTCTGTTGTTCAGGCTGGAGTACAGTGACAGGATCATGTCTCACTACAACCTCGACCTCCTGGGCTCAGGTGATCTTTTTGCCTCAGCCTTCCCAGTAGCTGGGACAACAGGTTCACACCACCACGCCTGGCTAAAATTTCTTTTTACATTTTTGGTAGAGACAAGGTCTCACTATGTTGCCCAGGCTTGTCTTAAACTCCTGGACTCAGGCAATCCTCCCTCCTCACCTCCCAAAGGGCTGGTAGCCACTACACCTGGCCCTAACTGAAGGATCTTGAGATGAAATCATGGTGGTTTAGCCAGGTGGGCCCTAGCTTCAATGACAAACATCCTTGTAAGAGGCTGAAAAGAAGAGACACAGGGGAGAGGAGAAGCCCACGTGATGTGAAGATGGCGGCAGAGATGGGAGTGATGCAGCCACAAGCCAAGGAACGCCTGTGGCCACCACAAGGTAGAAAACACGAGGAAGGATCCTCCCCTAGAGGCTTTGGAGGGAGCACGGCCCTACCAACACCTTGATCTGGGGCCTCTGGTCTCCAAAACGATAAAATAAAAAGTTCTGTTATTTTAAGCCACTCAGTTTGTGGTACTTGGTTACAGCAGCCACAGGAAATGCATTCAGTTGGCAAGTGCTATATAATTATACTCCTCCTGAATAGGCCCAATGCTCACTAGCACATTCAAGGCTCTGAGGAGTCCTGCCACAGAGAAACCAGTTTGGAACCGAAGCCATTATTTTTCAAGCATTTAAACTGGGAACACTTTTCTCAAATTACAAAATAATGACTAAGATAGTAGGGTTTCAGGCAGTTTGGGAGCAGCTACAGGTAAATAATTGTGACTGAAGGAAAGAGAAACCTTGAGTGGCCATAAACTTGCTTCTGGAAAGCCCTGCCAGCCACTGAGGGGGAGAAGGAGACTGCCTTGGTGTCAAGGGAGATACTCACATGTAGGTGAGGGCTGAGCCATCAGTCCACCTGTGGGCGCCTCCTTGGTCCTCTTTGAAGAGGCCTATCCAGGATGTTACCTGTTCAGTCGATGTTAGGAAGTCCTGGATGGGAGAAGGTACATTTTGGAGGCAGAATTCATTCAAAGCTGAAAAGAAGAAGGGGTCTGGAGGAGGACGGAGGTGCAGAGGAGCTGTCAGAGGGGCAGGCAGATGGATGCAGGCATGAAACACACTCCCTTTGAACTCTGACTTCAAACACCAGATACATGATGTCATGCCACATGACTTCTGACAAGTCACTCACCCCTCAGTTTTCTCATCTGTGCAAAGGAAAGAATAGAATTCTCTGCCTTTTGGTATATTCTCAGAAATTGAGTCAACTGTGTGAAGAGGAGGTACCTAGAAAGACACACTGGACACATACAGGCTGTGAGTGTATATGTCAGAGCAAGCAGTTTGATCTGTTGGCTGTGGGAGGAGTTCTGTCATGAGACTGAATCCAAAGGACATTCATGGAGACCCTACTTTGGGTCAAGCTTTGTTCTTGGCCCAGGAGACCCAGAGATGATTCAGATCTGACCCAACATTGGTGAGCAGGCAGCCCCAATGCAGCATGAAGTGCTGTGATCAAGGTCTCTAATGGTGCTACAAGAAGATATAAAGGAAAAGTGTGATTGTGTTGGGGTTTTGATGGCTGAGTAAGGGTTCTCCATGCAGACAGAAAAGGGAAGGGGCCTCCAAACACAACGACTCATGTGAATCAGAGCTGGAGGCAGGACCACAGTGCACAGAGTCCATTCCCTGAATGACAGCGCAGTGAGAATGGGTTAGTGCAAAATGAGGCAGGTCTTCATATTAGGATTATTATGCCAGATCTTAAAGGAGACAAAAATATAAACCCCAAAATTCTTGGGTTTTTATTTTTTATTTTTTTTGAGTTGGAGTCTCTGCCTCCAAGGCTGGAGAGCAGTGACACAATCATGACTCACCACAACCTCGACCTCCTGGGTTCAGGTGATCCTTTTGCCTCAGCCTCCTGAGTAGCTGGGACTACAGGCTTGTGCCACTATGTCTGGCTATTTTTTTTTAATAGAAGCAGAGTCTCGCTATGTTGCCTGGGTTGATCTCAAACTCGTGGGCTCAAGCAATCCTCCCACCTCAGCCTCCCAAATTGCTAGGATTACATGCAAAAGCAACTGCACCTGGCCCCCGAACCACAAAATTCTTGTAGAATTCTTCCTCTACCCCCACTAGGGTTTTACCTTTCCCTTTCCTACCTGTTCTGCTTGGCTGTTGATGATAACAAGGTGAGCTTTCTTCTGGGCACAAGAATCATTGGCCTGGGGCCAGGTGAGATTGTCCAAAGAGAAGAGGTAGCAGGAGCCCTGAAAAGCCTTCCAGTCCATGGGGCAGGACATGCAGGAGAGTTCTGAGGATGGAGCCATCAGCAAAGTCAGCATATCCAGCTGTCCACCCAGTAAAGACATTTGTCACCCCCTACTCCCTACCTGCCACCTTCCTGATGGCCTCCACTTGAATACACTTGGCAACAGGGAACTCACTACCTGGACACCTGGTGCTTTCTGTTACTGGAACACATCAGAAGAAAATACTAAAATGCTATAACTATCCTATTAAGTGGGAAAAAGTAGCTCTAAGAATAGTGTGAATTAGCTGGGGGTGGTGGCTCACACCTATAATCCCAGCACTTTGGGAGGCCAAGGCAGGAGGATTGTTTGAGCCCAAGAGTTCAAGATCAACCCTGGGCAACATAGCCAGACCTTGTCTCTACAAAAACAAACAAATAAACAAAAAACATCAGTCAGGTATGGTGGTAGACACCTGGAGTCCTAGTTACTCAGGAGACAGGCACCAGGTTGAGGCTTTGGAGAGCTGTGATCCTGCCACTGCAGTCCAGCCTGGGTGACATAGTGACACCATGATTAAAAATAAATAAATAAATAAATATTTTAAAAAGAATAGTGTGAATAATAGGCTACATTATATATATATATATATTATATATATGTTATACATATGCTCCGTTTATATATAAAGTATATGTTTGATGTTCTTTGTTTGCTTAAAGAATCTATACAGCAGCAGTCCTCAACCAGGAGTGACTTTGTCCCCAGGGGACATCTAGCAATGTGTGAAGATATTTTTGGTCACCACAACTGGGGGAGAGGTACTACTGGCATCCAAAGTCATATTCCTATTTTACTAAATGAAATAAGAGAAATACTGCATGATCTCCCTTATGCATGGAATCTAAAAAAACAAATTCGAAGAAACAGAGTAGAATGGTGGTTACCAGGGGCTGGGGGAGAGGGATGAGATGGGGAGATCTTGGTCAAAACCACAAAGTTTCAACCAGACAGGAATAAGTTTTACTGATCTATTGCACAGCATGGTGACCACAGTTAACAATAATGTAATGTATATTTCAAAATTGCTAAAGCAGTAGATTTTAACTTTCTCACCACACACACATAAAGATAAGTCGGCATAATTATGAATGTGAAAACAATATTGTACTCCAAAAATATTTACTACCATTATTATTGTAGAGACAGGGTTTTGTTCTATCACCCAGGTTGGAGTGCTGTGGCATGGTCATAACTCACTGCAGCCTTGAATTCCTGGGCTTAAGTGATCCTCCGCCCCATCTCCCTAGTAGCTGGGACTATAGGCACACACCACTTAGCCTGGCTAATTTTTTATTTTTTTGTAGAGATGGGGTCTTGCAATGTTGTCCAGCTTGGTCTTGATTTCCTGGGCTCAAGAGATCCTCCCACCTTGGCCCCTCAAAGTGCTGAGATTACAGGTGTCAGCTACCATGTCTAGCCTATAATTAATTGTCACTTAAAATTTTTTAATAGAAAGAAAAGCATCATATTTTAAATATGCAAGGCTGGGTTTGGTGGTTCATGCTTGCAATCTTAGCACTTTGGGAGGCAGATGTGAGAGGGTTAGGGAGACCAGCTTGGGCAACTTTGTGAGCCCCTATCTCTACAATAAGTAAAAAATTATCCAAGGGTGGTGACACTTACCTGTAGTTCCAGCAACTTGTAAGTCTGAGGCAGAAGGATCACCAGAACCCACCAGATTGAGGCTGCAGTAGCCGTGATCACTGCACTCCAGCCTGGGTGATAGAGTCAAACTCTGACTCATAAAACATATATACATGTACCACAAGGGTACTACCTATAACAGGATCTGACCTGATGGAGTTATTTGGGACCCAGGAATATACATTTTAGCAAACTCTCCAAGTTTTTCTTACATGCTGCTGAGACCCGACCACACTTTGCAGCACTCCATCGTGGTGATCAAAAGTGAAGGCTTGAATCCTGACCATGAATCTGCAGGAAAACACTCTTCATTCCCCTCTCATCTGACTGCAGAAGGAACTGAAGCTGAGAGTTGTGAACTGGGCTGCCCAGATTGCATGCAACTGCACACCTGTGGGGCAGACTTAACTGTCCCCCAAGTCTTGCTTTCAGGTATCCCTTCGCTACTGACTTGGTGTGAACACATCACCTCAACTTTCTCGATGCTCCACTAGTACTAAAAAGGAAGGCTTTGGGGTGCCCTTCTGAGACCACTGTGCTGCAGGAGACCCTTCCCCCACCCACTGTCACAGATCCTGAAGAGGGCAAGAAAGTATAGCTCCCTCCATTCTCTCACCTCCCCTCCCTACTCCTCACCATTGCCTGTTTGGACAACTTTCATTTGCCGGAACATTTCTCCCCGAATGAAGTCCCGGTCATGACCAGCATCTGCCAGTCCCTGTGTCACTGAGACACCCAAAGAGAAAGTGCTGGTGAAGGTCTTGGGGGGGTGGTTGGAATTGGGAGTTGATGGGATATGATTAAGGGGAGGGGCCCAACCTCTTCCAGCCCACCTCACCTTTTTTGTTCAGTTGTATGACTGCATTCTGCACTTGCTGGGTCAGCTTCAAGACTGGGGAGAGGCACAAACAGTGTGTTCTGGACTCCCCCAGACCCCAGAAACTCCCCAGGGTTTCTTTCTGTTCCTCAAACCGCCGCCCCTCCCGGAGCTAGCACCTCCTCCCATCCCCAGGACAAGGCACTTTGGGGCTCTAAAATGTCTGATCCATTTTTCAGATGAGGAAATTGAGACCCAGAGTGAGTAAAGTTCCTTTCCTAAGAGCAAACAGCTAGTGAGTGGTATGGAGGAAATGTTATTCAAGTGTGTCTGACTAAAGAACCAACTCTCTAAACTGTTGGGGGGGTACCTTTTTTTTGGTTTTGTTTTTTGAGTTGGATTCTCACTCTGTCACCCAGGTTGGAGGGCAGTGGCATGCTCCTGGCCACCACAGCCTTGACGTGCTGGGCTCAGGCTTTCAAGTAGCTGGAATTACAGGCATGTGCCACTATGCCTGACTAATGTTTTGATTTATTGTAGAGATGAGGTCTCACCAAGTTGCCCAGGCACTGGCTCAGGCAGTCCTCTCACCTCAGCCTCCCAAAGTGCTGGGATTATAGGCATGAGCCACCACACTTGACCAGGGCTGGGTTTTAAGGAGATACTCACCAGTGATATGGACCTGCTCTCTAATGACTCCCCTGCAGCCCACACAGACCCCCCAAGTGCCTGCCCCTGACGTTGGTGGGGAGGTCAGCTCCCTCCTGTCAGTACTGCTATCCCCAGTGACACAGACCAACCACCCTTCCTGCTCCACCCCTAGGCCAACCCTTCCAACTCCAACCCCAAACTACCAGGTTGGGAGCCTCATTTCCTGTGGCCACCTGGTCCCCACTGGCCCAGTTGTCTTACCCTTGGGGAGAACCACACTGAGAGTAACAACCATGAGGAGCAGAATCAGAGACACTACAAGACAGAGATACTTCCAGGTCTTGTCCTGGGACTTCTGTCTCTGTTGCCCTAGAGGGAAAACAAGATCAGCCTCCCCGGCTCTTCAGGAACACCCACTCTTTTTTTCTAGGATACTGAGGCTCCTCTCAGATAGGCTGGGGGAAACCACTGACTACCCTGTGCCCTTTGGGATTCCTTAATGAACCCACTAGAAGGTGAGGACTCAGAAAAGACTAGAAAAGGAAGCCTATCCTTCTGTGATGAGGAGTACTGGGGGTGATGGCTGACAGAATGAGGAGGGGGCCTCAGGAAGATGGGAACCCCAAAGCTTTCCCATACTCCCCGCTGGAGTTAGAATGTAGGGGCAGTCTATCACACAGATCTTGCTTGCATGGGTTTCTGGTTCCAGCTCCTTGACTCACCTGTTTCCTCCAGCCTGGGGGGAAGTCTGGTCTCCAATTCTGAGAACTCCTTGGGATCCTTGCAGCCACTATCCTTGCCTTCAGCCATGGCCATAGCCTACTCCATTCTGAGATGTCTCTCCCCTGCAGGGTTAATCTGTGAAACTTCACCCAGCCCTTGGTAGGAAACATTCCCCCACAACCCTCTTATACGGCTCTTCCTTCCTGGCTTAGTGTGGGGCCCAAGATCTCTAGATGGCTGATCATCAACATGGTGAGGAAGAGGACCGGGGAGCCTGAGCTCAGGAGGTAGTGGGCACCTAGTCTTCTTTCAAAGCTGATTTCTATCCAAGGTGATTGAAACTTAAAACAACCCAGAACACAATCCTAATTCCTGTCCTAATACCACCACCACTGCTGCCACTCTCTGCTTCTAACAACTTGGCTCTCAGTTTTGAAGGATCAAGTTGTGGCCATTTCAACTTAGGGAATCATTTGTATGACTCTTTTCTTGGATGTTGAAGATAATAACACTGCTCAACTGCTTTCATTCATCTATCCAGCTAGCTACCTAACTAGATTTTTGCTACTTCAACATTGAAGTATTTTTAAGTGGCTGGGCTCGATGGCTCAGCCTGTAATCCCAGCACCTTGGGAGGCTGAGGTGAGTGGATTGCCTGAACCCATGGGTTCGAGACCCAGGTAACTTGGTGAGACATCATCTCTTCAATAAATCAAAAACTAGCCAGGCATGGTAGTGCGGGTCTGTAGTTCTGGCTG